CTTTTGGATCCATGAGAATGGCACTATTCCTGTTCGCAGCCAACAACGACACACTATTTCGGGATTTAATGCGTGTTGAATCCCACTAATTCGTAAAATGGTCGTGCGCAAGTCGGGCCTCGTGTTCACCTTTTGGGGCGCTTCTTCAAGCACGCCTAGGGTCTCAATGGGTGGGTTGGCCTGTGCATCATTAAGTTCGGTCGTGAGAGAGGTAGGATTAGGCTTGTTGAACTCCTTGAGAAGCCACTCGGCCAAGAGTTTGCGATACCTCATTTCGAGAGTAGCAATGATACCTTGGTCGAGTGGTTGCACGTGAGACATGCAATTTGGAGGAAGATGGAGCACGCGAATGTTTCTAGAATCTATGTACTTGAATTCTCGAACACGCCCTTGGACCGTTCCGTCGATGTTAACTACACCGTGTGCACTTGCGTTGTCCACAAAGAGCACAATACTGTGAGAAAGCCTGTTATGATGGGTATGTAGGGCAAACACACGTTTAGATGTAATTGAGGAGCTTCGTGTGATCGATACGAAGAAGAAAACCACCGCCATTGGCGACCCACAATTTATGTACACATGCATGAACATACCTTCGACGTAATCCAATATTTTTTGCACGATAGCACACATAATCTTGGACATTGTAATCATTCTTGAATGATCTCAGCCTCAAGGATTTGTCTATCACAATGGGGTGTCGGAAATCCGACCCATCGGCAATAACGTACAAGGCTAGGGTAAAATTTTCCGTGTCTAATTTCCCTCCCGCCACAGGTTCCGTCGCAAAGGTGTGTCGTGGCTGCTGTCCTTGCATCAATCCTGCCTCGTCTAGGTTGTAAACATCGCGTGCTTCGTATCCTTGAAGTACGAGCGGTAGATTTTCGCGCGCCAATCCAATTGACTCGGAGTTGGCACTCGACGCTTTGCTCTTGCTAATGTAGTTTGCCATTCCCAAGCACACTAATGCACGATACAACCATGTGGCACTGGCCATGCAGCTCTTGTTAGATGGGATTCGACTACTAATATCTGCCGCCTTACGCCGTTGAACTTGGAATGCCAATGGGAGGTTTTGTGCATTTTTCCTAATTGCCCACTTCTTGAGACATGCCTCTATGAGAGGATGGTGTCCGGCGCTAAACTGTTTACGCGTCTCTAATAATAGAGTATTATGCGTCCAACGCGCGCGCTCCCGAAGAATCTTAGAGACGGTTGTACGACACGGGGTTTTTCGAAATTCTGAGTCCAACCGCCGCACTAGATGCTTATGGGTAATTCCCTTTTGAGCATCATGATTGCACTAAAGCTCTCTTCTCAGCAATCATCATAGCCGTATTTTGCCTCTCTGTAGGCATGGCTGCTACTATAGAGATAAGACACTAGTAAGCAAGGCAAGGTGAGGAGCTATGTGGTTGTCGAGTTGGCTGTGAAGTTGAGCTTCTGGGTGAAGCTCTCTGTTTCTAATTCCCTATGCATGGGAGTCTCCCGTAGGAATTCCCCGCATTCAATATGTGATTGGATGCGGGACTTATTTCTTCGTGGCGGACTGAAACACAATTTTGTGGTGTGTAAGCATTGGCTTGAAATGAAGGCGACGAACGAACCAATGCGGACCTGCCAATTCGAAATAGTACCCCCTCTAGAAATTTTTCTCGATTACGCAAGTCCCCTGAAAATTGAACGAGAGAAGTTCACAGTAACCTCGCATGTGCACTGCTCGTGCAACAGTGCATTCTGAACTGTCACTTCTTGACCCTAAATCGCGATGACAGCACGTGACTAGAGAGATGTCTGATGTCGAAGCCAAACTGGCACCCCAGCCTCACTGGCCCAAGTAACAACAAGGGGGTTAAGGAATTGGTGGTATTGAAGTTGGCGAGGGCGAGGTGTACTCTTAGGCCCCTCTTTCATACTCCCTTTTGTAGGTACCATGAAAAGGAAAAACAGGGTGTTCCGAGAATTGAAATCGGGACCTCTCTCACCCTAAGTGGGAATCATGCCACTTCATTGACAATATAAAGGGTACAAAGGTACATCAGTCTCAAGGTTTTAGTGCCTGCTACCTAAGAGAAGCTATGCAAGGGAAACAACAACGGTAGTCCAACGTCTACCTCATTCAGTAATCATTCCCCATGCACGCGAAGTCCGCTGCCGACGGAGGGGTAACGTCCGAAGGGGTGGCGCTGGTCCCAACCGTGAATCAAACCTGCGCCCGCCTGCAGATCATGCGGGCCTAAGCGCACTGATGGACGAGGGAAATGCGCTTGTAGAAGCTGGTTTCTAACAGTTGCGGAAGGCGGTCGGATAAGCCACTCATGTAACAAAGGCGCGAAGCTCCACGGCGGCTGCATTATTTAAGGGAATCCTAGAATGGCTTCCCAAAGCACCCAAAGGTCCCAAGGGCCAGTGGAAGTAACTTGACTCGGGTCAGAAATGCAGGGACGATGCGTACAGTGCGGTTTTCTCGGTTTTGCATGTCGCAGCAGCTGAACCAATGACGGTGGCAGTATTGGAGTGGGGGAAGCCATGCTGTGGATCGGCCATTGAAATGTCCAAAGCCCAGGTGGCGCCGGATTGGACATCCCTGCAGCTGATGTTAGGTTGGTGACCTGGAAGAAGGTGGTGGTCTTCCAAGTGCGCCACAAGGCCGAGCTCCAAAGTGATGCGGTGCAGTTCGTGCTTGATGGCGTCGTGCACTCTGGTAGGTTCGTTGTTCATGGGGCAGCGAAGGGCATGGGATGGAAGGGAAAGATTGTGAGAAGGAGTGTCCACAAGCGCAAGATTCATTGGAGCTGAGGTGAGGAATGGGGAGCCCGAGGCGGATAGCAGCAGCGATACGCCAATCGGATTCAGAGAGCTGCAGCTGAGATGAAGAAAGAGCCGAAGTAAGCCAATCCCCCGCGTGCGGGCCCTGCAGGGAGGTTAAATGGGCCAGGCGAAGAGGGGAAGTGACAGTCGCGCGGACTTTCTTGAGCAAAGAAGCCTCAAGCTGCTGCAAGAGGTGTGTGAAGAGTTTGGAGGGGTAGCCGGGTCGAAGATGAGACCAGGAAGGGAAACGATCAATAACTTCTTTGGGGAGCATGGCAGCGGCAGTTGGGATGAACTCGTCAAGGTGATGAATGGTATTAGAAGAGAGAAAGGGACGGAAAAGCGGCAAGCTGTTAGTGATGAAGTGGGTGGGCAGTAGTGGAAGCGACTGAGCCCAGCTGCAAAGGTAACTGAGAGGTGCTGTAGAGGCGGATGAACGAAGGCCAAAACCCTCAAGGCGATTAGGGAGAAATACTTGCAGCTGCACCATCTTAGTCTGCTCCATGTTTGGAACCTAGTAACCAGGGAAAAAAAGCTGGGTGAAGTGGTCCTGGATGGTGAAGTCCCAAGAGCTGAAGAGGTCACGTATCTCTGGGAATGGTGAAATAGTCCGGAGGTGGAAGGAAGGACGGGCTGAGACGCACTAAGAGAGGATGCGGGAGGCGGTCTGAGGGTCATGAAGCTGATGAAAAAAGAGGAAGAGAGGCAGCAAATGAGTCGAGCTTCCCCCGTACTGTGAAAATAATGTAGCCACCCGAACCGATCGGGACCCCTGCAACGTTGAGGCCGTTGGAAGCGATAGGAACACCAGGAGGGGTTGCACAGTCCTGAGGTGAGTCAAGAGGACACCAGATGGAACATTTTGAAGGTTGGACTATAAGGCCCAAGGAATGAAGGAGGTCGGTCAGTGCAGTGAAGGCAGTGGTGATAGTTGAGGGAGGGCGTGTTAGAATACTAGCTAGACTTAGGAGCCATGAGTCGAGAGAATTGAGTGTCGAGAGAATTGAGTGTCGAGAGAATTGGAAAGGAGAATGAGGGGTTTCACTAGCAAGAGTTGGGATACAAGTACAACACCCAAAATTGGGTTGTACTCATTACAGAGTACCCCACTGCAGGCTAGACAGCAAATACATTCTGAAACACCCCCATAGTCAAAGTGGGGTATAATCAGCAGAGCAAGCAGTCATAGAGCAGGTTCACAAGTACAAGCAAAGCTAGAGGCATACACAAAAGGCAAGTGAGGAGGAGGCTGGACTGTGAGAGGAGAGGAGATAGGAGGCGACTGCTGATGCTGCAGACACACGGGCAACAGGAGCGGCACGCACTGTGGCTACCGGAGCAAGGGCCCCGGACTACAGGAGTAACTGGCTCTGCGGCTAACTCTGAGCGGCAGGAGCAACGGACCCGCGGGCGACTGGCGCAGCAGGCTCGCTGGGCTACCAGAGATTGTAGCCTCCGGGCTACTGGCGCTGCTGGCGACACGACGGCTACCTCCGCTCAACCTCCCCCAACTGTCCCACCCCCCTTTCACACACCCCTTGCTGCACCCCTAGCTCCACTCCCACTTCACCCCCCTAGCACCACTCCCTAGGCTCCCACACACCCACCCCCCTCAGCGGCAGCTGCAGCAGTGGGAGACGGAGGAGGAGGAGGAGCAGGGGATGGTTCACACACCCGCCACCCCCATACCCTCCCCCACTGCTGCACCTGCAGCAGGGGATGGAGGAGAAGGGGGGGGGGGGGTGCTGTGCATGGCGCGTGCAGAGGGCAGCAGGGCGCACGGGGCGCACAGGGCAGCAGGGCAGCAGGGCGCGCGGGGCGCACAGGGCTGCAGGGCGCGCGGGGCGCGCAGGGCAGCAGCAAGGGCTGGGGGGGGGGGGGGGGGGGGGGGGGGGGCTGATGCTGCAACTCCCCTCCTCCCCACTGCTGCTGCAGATCTCCTCCCCCCCCATTGCTGCATCCACAGCAGGGGTGGAGGAGAAAGGGGGGGGGGGGGGCGGGTGCTGCATATCCCCTCCTGCCTCCCTCTGAACCTCCAAGCTCCCCCCCACCTACCAACACAGGGTGCGGCAGGGAGAGAGAGAGGAGAAAAGGGCGCGGGGGGGGGGGGGGGGGGGGGGGGGGGGCTGATGCTGCAAATCCCCTCCCCCCACTGCTGCTGCAGATCCCCTCCCCCCACTGCTGCACCCTCAGCAGGGGTGGAGGAGAAAAGGGGGGGGGCGGGGGGGGCTGGTGCTGCATATCCCCTCCTGCCTCCCTCTGAACCTCCAAGCTCCCCCCCCCTCCCAACACAGGGTGCGGCAGGGAGAGAGAGAGGAGAAAAGGGCGGGGAGGGGGGGGGGGGGGGGGGGCTGATGCTGCAAATCCCCTCCCCCCACTGCTGCACCCGCAGCAGGGGTGGAGGAGAAAAAAGGGGGGGGCGGGGGGGGGGGGGGGGGGGGGGGGTGCTGATGCTGCAAATCCCCTCCCCCCACTGCTGCTGCAGATCCCCTCCCCCCACTGCTGCACCCGCAGCAGTGGTGGAGGAGAAAGGGGGGGGGCGGGGGGGGGCTGGTGCTGCAGATCCCCTCCTGCCTCCCTCTGAACCTCCAAGCTCCCCCCCGCCTCCCAACTCAGGGTGCGGCAGGGAGAGAGAGAGGAGAAAAGGGCGGGGGGGGGGGGGGGGGGGGGGGGGGGGCTGATGCTGCAAATCCCCTCCCCCCACTGCTGCTGCAGATCCCCTCCCCCCACTGCTGCACCCTCAGCAGGGGTGGAGGAGAAAAGGGGGGGGGCGGGGGGGGCTGGTGCTGCATATCCCCTCCTGCCTCCCTCTGAACCTCCAAGCTCCCCCCCCCTCCCAACACAGGGTGCGGCAGGGAGAGAGAGAGGAGAAAAGGGCGGGGAGGGGGGGGGGGGGGGGGGGCTGATGCTGCAAATCCCCTCCCCCCACTGCTGCACCCGCAGCAGGGGTGGAGGAGAAAAAAGGGGGGGGCGGGGGGGGGGGGGGGGGGGGGGTGCTGATGCTGCAAATCTCCTCCCCCCACTGCTGCTGCAGATCCCCTCCCCCCACTGCTGCACCCGCAGCAGGGGTGGAGGAGAAAGGGGGGGGGCGGGGCGGGGCTGGTGCTGCAGATCCCCTCCTGCCTCCCTCTGAACCTCCAAGCTCCCCCCCGCCTCCCAACTCAGGGTGCGGCAGGGAGAGAGAGAGGAGAAAAGGGCGGGGGGGGGGGGGGGGGGGGGGGGGCTGATGCTGCAAATCCCCTCCCCCCACTGCTGCTGCAGATCCCCTCCCCCCCACTGCTGCACCTGCAGCAGGGTTGGAGGAGAAAGGGGGGGGGCGGGGGGGGGCTGGTGCTGCAGATCCCCTCCTGCCTCCCTCTGAACCTCCAAGCTCCCCCCCGCCTCCCAACTCAGGGTGCGGCAGGGAGAGAGAGAGGAGAAAAGGGCGGGGGGGGGGGGGGGGGGGGGGGGGCTGATGCTGCAAATCCCCTCCCCCCACTGCTGCTGCAGATCCCCTCCCCCCCACTGCTGCACCTGCAGCAGGGTTGGAGGAGAAAGGGGGGGGGCGGGGGGGGCTGGTGCCGCAGATCCCCTCCCCCCCCACTGCTGCACCCGCAGCAGGGGGGAGGTAGGAGAAGGGGCGGTGCAGGAGCCGCTCGGGCGACAGCAGGTTGGCCACACCCGCCACCCCCATACCCTCCCCACTACTGCTGCACCCGCAGCAGAGAGATGGAGGAGAAGGGGGGGGGGCGGGGGGGGGGGGGCTGGTGCTGCAGGTCCCCTCCCCCAACTGCCGCATCCGCAGCAGGGGGATGGCATATCCCCTCCCCCCCACTGCTGCACCCGCAGCAGGGGGAGGTAGGAGAAGGGTGGGGACCTGGTGCTGCAGATCCCCTCCTGCCTCCCCCTGAACCTCCAAGCTTCCCCCCCCTCTCCCCGCCATCCCCATGGAGGGGGGGGAGGGGGGGGAGGGGGGCGGGGGCGGAGCTGCGCGTGCGACTGTAGGGCACGCGGGCAGGAGGAACCCCCTCTTGCCACCCCCTCACCCACCATGGCGCAACAGGGCACCGGGGCCGCGGTTAGGGGCGGCAGGTCGCGAGGGGCCATGGCTAGGGGCGACGGGGCCATGGCTAGGAACGGGGCCGGGCGCTGGGCAGGTACGGGGCCGGGTGCTGGGCAGGTACGGGGCCGGGCGCTGGGCAGGGAAGGGGCCGGGCGCTGGGCAGGTACAGGGCCGGGCTCTGGGCAGGTACGGGGCCGGGCGTTGGGCAGGTACGGGGCCGGGCGCTGGGCAGGTACGGGGCCGGGCGCTGGGCAGCTACGGGGCCGGGCTCTGGGCAGGTACGGGGCCGGGCGTTGGGCAGGTACGGGGCCGGGCGCTGGGCAGGTACGGGGCCGGGCGCTGGGCAGGTACGGGGCCGGGCACTGGGCAGGAACGGGGCCGGGCGCTGGGCAGGTACGGGGCCGGGCGCTGGGCAGGTACAGGGCCGGGCGTTGGGCAGGTACGGGGCCGGGCGCTGGGCAGGTATGGGGCCGGGCGCCGGGCTCTGAGGTGGGGCCGAGGGGCCTAGGGGCCGCGGGGCCAAACAAGGGGCCGGGGGGGCCTAGGGGGGCCGAGGGGCCTAGGGGGCCGAGGGGCCTAGGGGGCCGAGGGGCCAAACAAGGGGCCGGGGGGCCGGGCGCCGGGCTCTGAGGTGGGGCCGAGGGGCCTAGGGGCCGTGGGGCCAAACAAGGGGCCGGGGGGGGGCCTAGGGGGGCCGAGGGGCCTAGGGGGCTGAGGGGCCAAACAAGGGGCCGGGGGGGGGGGGGGCGGGCGCCGGGCTCTGAGGTGGGGCCGAGGGGCCTAGGGGCCGCGGGGCCAAACAAGGGGCGGGGGGGGCCTAGGGGGGCCAAGGGGCCTAGGGGGCCGAGGGGCCAAACAAGGGGCCGGGGGGCCGGGCGCGGGCGTTATACGGGCCGGGCGCGGGCTAGGTACGGGGCCAGGCGCTGGCGACAGACGGGGCCGGGCGCGGGCTAGGTACGGGGCCGGGCGCTGGCTAGGGTCGGGGCCGTGCGCTGGGCTAGGTACTGGCCGGGCGCGGGGCTAGGTACGAGCCGAGCGCGGGCGAGAGACGGGGCCGGGCGCGGGCAGGGTACGGGCTGGTCGCGAGGCTAGGTACGGGCCGGGCGTGGGGCTAGGAATGGGGCCGAGCGCGGGCAGGGTACGGGCCGGTCGCGAGGCTAGGTACGGGCCGGGCGCGGGGCTAGGAACGGGGCCGAGCGCGAGGCTAGGTACGGGCCGATCGCGGGCTAGGTACGGGGCCAAGCGCGGGCGAGGTACGGGCCGGGCGCGGGGCTAGGAACGGGGCCAAGCGCGGGCTAGGCACGGGCCGGGCGCGGGCGACGGAATCGACGGGGCCAGCGGGGCCGAGGGGCCGAGCTAGGGGCGACGGGCCAAGGGGCCGAGCCTAGGGGCGACGGGCCAAGGGGCCGAGCCTAGGGGCTATGGGCGACGCCAAGGGGCGACGGGCCGGGGCCTAGGCTAGCAGGTACGTAGGTGGTGGGCCCATTAAGGTTGAGGTCCTAGGAAGGTTATGCTCTTAATACCATGTTAGAATACTAGCTAGACTTAGGAGCCATGGCTAGTGAGTGTCGAGAGAATTGAGTGTCGAGAGAATTGGAAAGGAGAATGAGGGGTTTCACTAGCAAGAGTTGAGATACAAGTACAACACCCTAAATTGGGTTGTACTCATTACAGAGCACCCCACTGCAGGCTAGACAGCAAATACATTCTGACAGGGCCGACGAGGAAGGTGTCGTCAGCGTAGGAGGAGATGAAGATGGATGGAAACTGGTTATTGTGTTGGAAGAACGGCAAGCTGTTGGGTGAGGGCATAGAGAAAGGGACCACAGGGGTCCCCCTGGAGCACGCACGAGGCGGACTCGAATGTATGGAGGGTTGGGCTGTTGCGGTAATGAAGGGGAGACGAGGAGGAGTAGAAGAGGCGGAAATAGGGAATGAGAGGGGAGAAAGCTGAGGAGCGGAGAGCCTCGAACATGGCAGTCCTGTTTAAAGAGTTGAAGGCGTTAGCTATGTCGAGCTGAAGCACTAACCAATCAGGATGAAGAGAAAGAGCGGATTGTACGGCGTGCGCCATCACTTCTATGCCAGCAGGAACTGCAACCCCGAACTCAAGGCAAGGAAGGAAGGTGTCTCGCATCTGCTGCTTGAACATGAGGGTGATGCAGCGGGAAAGAAGGCGCGGGAGAACTTCTCCAATAGCGATCGGCCGGACCCCACGCTCCGGCTTCTTAAGGGCTACGAGGGTAGATGCGGTGTAGTATGAGCGGACTGAGAGCGGGAGTTCGCCCTGTAACCAGTTTTGGAAGAGGCGGAGGAGGGAGGGAAGGTCCTGCTGAGAAGTAAAAAATGTGTCTCTGAGGTGCCCAATCAACCAACCTGAAGGGCCAGTAGCAGTGTTATAGACACAGTATGCTTCAATGTGCCTAAAAACGAAAGATAGAGTGCATAGTCGGATTTCTGCACAGAGGCTTCAAACGTTGATAACGTTCTGTTCACAGCTCTAAATGACTTGCTATAAATTGAATCTGGAGCGTCTTAATTTCATCTACAACAGGTAATTTAGATCGCACGATTTCATTACGAATTAACGATACAGTGTCAGTTTGAACAAATGGCACTATGTGTAAGGAATTTTCTCGACATTCCTTACGCAACCAGCAACACCGCGTACAGCAGCAGCCGTTGTTCGCCCGTTACTGCTTACGGGGCTTCGCCAACTTCGCACGCACTCTTTCACCAAACCTTGCACTGCTGGCCCAGCCGAGTCGGCCTACGCTTCGGGACTAGCCCGAACCTCCATGCCAGCATAGCACTAGCTAGCTCGCACGCACCGCGTAACCGTTGCATGTTTTCGCACATAAGTATTCGCTCATGCCTTCGCTCATACTTTGTACTCTTTTGACACTCTAGTGCAATCCTCGCTACTTCGTTCCATTGCATCCGTAACACTATGGCAGCCACTATAGTCTTAGAACACAAATTAGGAAGAGTTACGAGTTGGGAATGACTCCCAGCCTCTACAAACCCCAAGAGCCGAGGTACAGTGATGTGGAACAGTGCCACACTGTCCCCAACCAAGAAGGGTCTCGAAACTACCCTCCACAAGGGCCTACACCAAGAGAAATGTTACACTACACAAAGTAATGTAACGATTCTCATTACCTTGAAGTGCACCCTTTTCGCGAGCCTCGCGATCAATTGAATCTTGTAACCAAGGCTCTGGTTCTTCATCATAAAATCATCCTTGAGTTCTTGAAGAGTCTGCTGCACACACATGCGACACGCCGAACGTTCCACAAACACGACAAAATAAAAACCGCGCACGGGACATAAACGACCGTGTGACGCGCTGTCAAGAGAATGAACGAGAATGAATGAAGTAGCAAAGAGTTGGGTACAAGTACTAACCCTAATTGGGTTGTACCCCTTATGGGCTACACCACTATAGCCTACACAAATGTAAGCTATAAAAGAGGACAAACAATACAGTGATCATACCCTAGCAAGTGCAAGCATGCACGCATATATATAGATCACAGTACAAGCAAAATCAAGCAGTTTTGCAAGTGAGGCAAAGTAGGCACAAGGCCTAACACAGTAGAGAAGCGCTGATGATCACCAAGCGGAAGTGCCTTGGTGAATATATCAGCAGTGTTGGCCCTAGTGGCCACGTACGCAAGACGAAGCTGGCCATGCTGCTGCAACTCTCGAGCAAGGAAGTATCGCAGAGCGATGTGCTTCGTTTGGTGCTCCAGTCTGTGCTCCTGACACAAGGCAATCATGGCCTTGTTGTCTACGTACAGAACTGGAGGCGAACGAGGCTGCTCTCCCAAGTCGATCAGCAGGTAGGTGAGCCAGCGTAGCTCCTGTGCAGCCATGGCCCCTGTGTAGATCTCACCCTCACAACTGGAGCTGAGAACCGAAGACGAGCGGGTAGACCGCCAGGAAACAGAGCCGGAACCAAGGCTGAATGTCTAACCCTGTGACGATTGCTACGTAGCTGAGTCGTCAACCCAAGAAGCGTCTGCGTGACCCGTGACGACAACTGGACCCCGTCCTCCAAGAACGTGCCCCATGCCCAACGTACTGCACAAGTAACACAGTACCCTCTTTGCAGCATCCCAGTGCACCTTTCGGTGCCTACCGGGAGCCACGTAGTAAGCCAGGAGGCTAGGAAGGTACGCGAGGTCAGGTCGTGTGCACGTCATCAGGTACATGAGGCAACCCACAAGCTCTGGGTACGGACCACTCGGCTCTACGGACTCGTCCGAAGGTGGAGCTGAGAGCGAGTGGCTGGTAGACAGAGGAGTGGGCTGTGGCGAGGAGAACTAGAAGCCGAAGCGCTGAAGGACCTGGTGCACCATGTGTGACTGAGTGAGGGTGATGATGCGCCGTGCTCTGTTCCGGGTGATCTGCAAGCCAAGATAGCTGCGCAGTTCACCTAGGCCAGTGTAGGTGTGTCTCTTCTGCAGCTCCGACTTCACAAGGGTCAGTGCCTCGGTGTCAGCAGTGTCAAAGACGAGGTCGTCGACGTACACGAGGACGTAGAACGGCGGAAGCGAGGTGTCGGTGCATAGAAACAGCGACGGGTCAGCAGTAGAAGGAGCAAACCCAAGAGCCGCAAATGTAGTCCTCAGTGTGTCGTGCCACTCCCGAGGCGCCTGGCGGAGACCGTAGACTGGCCGGCGGAGGCTCCACTGGGTACCTGCAGGAAACGACCCAGTGAAGCCAGGTGGGCGGCGCAGCTAGATCTCCTCGTGCAGGCTGCCCTGCAAGAAAGCTGTGCTGAAGTCCAGAGAGTGCAACTCGTAGTCACGCTGAGAAGCGATGTGCAGCAACACCCGAAGAGTAGTCATCTTCGGGGTGGGGGAGAAGGTCTGGAAGTAGTCAACCCCCTGTCGCTGACTGAAGCCTCGAGCAACGTAACGCGCCTTGAAGGCAGGCGGAGAACCCGGCGGCCGCTTCACCCTGAAAATCCACATGCCATCGACAATGTTCGCCCCAGGTGGGGGAACGTCGTCAACGTAGGTGCCTGTGGACTTCCAGGATGCCATCTCGGCATCCA